AAGGTCGACCGGTGTGGCCTATTCATAGATGAAACTTACCCATTTTTAGGGGCTAGCCCAGATGGATTAGTGGAAAGCGACGGCCTGATAGAAGTCAAATGTCTATATTCAATTAAGGACACTTCTATCGAAGACCACTTGCAAAACAACAAAACCACATGTCTTGAACTTGTCAGCGGAAAGCTTCGACTAAAAAAAAGTCACGACTACTATTTTCAAATTCAAGGTCAGTTGAACATTGCCAAAAGAAAGTGGTGTGACTTCGTAGTTTTCACCAGAAAAGGAGAGTTGTTTGTTGAGAGGATTGTTATTGATGAGGAATTCTGGGCAAAAGTACTACCTAAATTAGTACAGTTCTACCACGAATGCATTTTGCCGGAAATCATCGACAGTCGCCTCATAAGAAATTTGAGGATAAGGAATCCCCCCTCCATCATTGAGGCCCAGCAACGATTGAAAAACCGACCTAAAAGAGGGAAAAAAGTTGTTCAAGACACAGACCACGACCTCGAAATTGAGAGACCGAAACGTTTGAAACTAAACACGGTTCCAACACTTGGTTCACTATAGCTAAATAAATAAAGAAATTGTACAGTTATAGACAAATCAAAGCATTCACAGTTTGTGTTTTCTCACTTATTTACAGTACCTTTATTATATTTAAATGTTACTTATTTTTGTGTGTGTGTGTTTCAATCAAGCCCCAAATAGAGTACAGTACGTATTACAATGAAAATTAAATTTGTAATAATCCTTATGTGCTATTTTACTTCTATTTTGACTTTATTTTTATTTTCGTAGTTGCAAAAGGATCTTACAGTTTAATGTAGTATGGCAAAATAATTTTGAAGGTGCCTCCTAATGAGGCATGTGGTTGGTTTTTTTATACAGTACACTTATACCAAATTATAAAATCGTACATAAAAATATTTTGACTATAAATATAATGTTAAATTTGCCTACATTACACAAAATACATCATACTGATATTCTAACAGGTTTTAAAAATCATTGTGAATGTAAGACACATTATATTGTGCATATATTCTTATGTTAATACTAAGGTTGTAATTTGAATTATTATTTTATGTTACAATTAATTAAGTTGAAGATGAATCACAGACTTCCCCCAGCCCATGACCTGAGCCCGGGATACCAGCGACTAGCGTTAGTAAGGCGACACAAGAAGACAAGACATCTCAGAATTCAGATAAGGAGATAACGCAAACAATAGCAGCAGCTATCTGCGCGTTAGGTTTTTGTATTCATTAGATGGTTCGGCGTGGTGGGGAGGGGATGTTGAGGGGAACAGACGGCGGAGGGGGAGAGTTGAGCGCTGCCAGTACTAGTGCTGCGATCTAGGCGGAATAGTTTGGCATAAATCGCCCTAGCACAACGTTAAGCCATATTACTTGAATAGCAGCTTCACTAGCAGCAACATATTCCGCTTCAGTAGTTGATAATGAAATACAATTTTGTTTCTTTGAAAACCAACTAATGGCTCCGCCAGCAAACAAACATAGACATCCTGAACGTGACTTTCTGCTGTTTTCATCATCTGCGACGTCTACATCAGTGTAACATTTCCCGTTCAATAGAACCATTTTCTTCTGGTGTATAAGGCATAACAGTTCTCATAGTGATGCCTTGTTTAGCGAGCAATTTCTTCACTGCAAAATTATTAAACTCAGTCCCACCATCACTCATAAACGTTTTTACCACATGTCCAGCAGTTTGACATTCATTCAAGTATGTCTCAATACAGTCTGTAACCTCCGTCTTATTTTTGATGAAAAATACTCTTCTAAATTTAGTAAAGTAGTCTTTGTAAACCAGCCAGTAGCGACTTCCTCCTAGAGAAATGTTTTCCATAGGACCACAGAGATCTCCACTTACTATTTCTCCTGCAATTGTTGGCTTTACAGTTCGAGAATGGTATGTAGCTCTGTGTTGCTTGCCTAGTACGCAACCTTCACAAAATTCATCTTCTTCCTTGACATGTATTCCCCTGCTTTTAAGAGTTTTTAACACATGTGTCTTATTTTGATGAGAGCCAGAGATTCATGCCACTCTTGGACAGTTTTCAGTTTACTACTATACGCTGTTTTAGCTTCTGCATGCGGCAACAGAACATCCATTTCAACTTTATAGAGTCCATTTACACAATGTCCATACAGCTGTGCAACGTTATTCTTCATGAAGACACATTTTTCTTTAGTTACTTTGAAACTAAATCCTTTCTTTACTGTTGTGCTGACTGACATCAGGTTCCTTCCTAGCTTGGGAACGTAGGCTACCATACATTCTCTAAAGTTGTGATGTATCGGTTCTTACCAATATTCACACTTACTCGAATACTTCCCTCTCCAACTGCCTCAATATCATCACAATTTCCCACAGTGACATTAATTGGTGAAGTAAACCTCTGATATGTGTGAAAGAAGTCCCTCCGGAAACACGTATGCTGCGATGCTCCAGAGTCTGCAATAAAGCTGTTTTTTCCTGTGCTCCTTTGCTACAAAACACAAGAATGGACCACTGTTACCTTTTCTAGGCTCTGTCTTTTTTTGTCTTATTTTCCTGATTTCTTTGGTCAATGACTAGCATAGTGTGGTCCCTTACAAATAAAACACTTTATTTCCTTCTTTACAGAATGTCTTTTGCCTTCTGAGAATGGACTTGTGTTATTTCTACTAACCTGTAAGGCTTGTCCATTATCAGAACCTAGGTAGCCTGGACTCAATCAGACGAATTCTCTCTATTAGCAAATCAACACTTCTGTCTTTCACTGGTATGCTTTCCCACACACTCTTGAACTCAAAGAATTCTTTAGGTAGTGTACTCATAATCCTTGACATCAACACAAGTTCTGGCAGTTCTGAAGCTTTATGCATGTTAAGTTCATCATTCACTTCTATGAAGTTTAACTGCAATCTTAAGATATATTTGATCAAATCTTCTCTCCATCAGTTATAATAGATGTAAAGAACTGTCCCATTGTTCTATCTAGTCTCTGAATTGATGATTGTTCATATATGCTCAACAGCTTCTGCCACATTTCATGTGCACTATCACAAGTAGCCATTAATTCTACATGTGAATCGTCTAGAGCATTTACAATAAGTACCTGAGCTAAGGTGTCACCTTTCTTAAAATCCTTAAGCTTCTGCTCCTCTGTTTCTTCAGGCCTTGTCCTTTCACCAGTAATCAGATCACTAATTCCATGATGTCTCAAAACTAATTCCATCTGGCGTTTCCACCTTCTCCATGATTGAGAATTACTTAGTTTTTCAACATTCACTCTTAAATCCATTCTTTTAATATTTTCTGTAGCCCATAACCGAATAATAACCCCGCCGCAGCAAACCTGCCGACTAAGCGAATTTCCATTTGTCTTACTTGATTTTCAATTAAATATATTTTGATAACATTAGGTTTAACGAGTACCTAGGTTTGCTGCTAAAAGGAAACTAATAAAGTGTGTTTTTTTGTAAAATATTGATAGCTTAGTACAAAATAAATAAATTTGATCAAAATACAAAATATATCCATAAACAAGTAAACTACAACATTTGACAATTTTCTCCATAAGAATAACATGGGAATTTTTAATTTACAATTTTTTAAATTTTCTCCGTTACTATTAACCGAACAAAAATACTTTTATATACTAAATCAATTGTTTTTTTTTTAAGCTCTTTAAAAAGGTCTAAAGAGAAATTGGGAAATTTTGTGTTTTGAGGGTCAAAAGTGAGAAAAACCAATTTTTACCCCATAAAACCCCCCGTAAAGCCCCGTTGCCATGGTCCGATTATGCTGGTTCGCGAACTCATTCAAGTTTATCCCGCTTTACACCTTTAAACCAAATTTCATCAAAATCGGACAAAAATTACTCAAGTTATCGCGTTCATGGACGTATATATATATATATATATATATATGTCTATATATATATACATATATAAAAATTTGAACGAATGGTGTTTTTGGCCTCTGGCGATATCAAAATGAAAAAGTAAATCGGTCCCGGGTCTAGGTCTTACCGTGCCACCTACGGTAATAGCTACTTCCCTATAGGGAAATTCGCTAAAAACAATAAAAGTTGGATAAAGAAATTAGTTTTATTTAATTTAACAAAGCCCATGTTATGAGAAGAATGAGAATTATTTGTTGTTATTCAATAATAAACAACAAATGTTCACAAATAATATTAATACCAACTCAACTCACAGGCTCTCAGGTTTCAAAAGGCTCTCAGGCTCTTTGTATTGCGGGCCCTGGGAGCCTTTTTACGCCACTGGCTTAAGATTTTAACAATGTTCACGTTATTGAACATTGTTAAAATCTAAAGCCAGTGGCTATCTCCAAATTAAATTGTAGGTATGCACGCACAGATTTGACATCAAGCATCGGCATTTGTTTATCTGACGTATATTTTGAGTTATGCACAAAAGCAACTTCCTTCCTGTACATTTCTTATAGGAGTTAAATTTGGTTTTCCTTTTCCAATTCATTTAGCTCTTCTACCGTGACCGATTTTTATAATCTTGAAAGGTATGCACTAACAGATTTGCCATCAAGCATCATCATTCATTTATCTGCTCTATTATTACTCAACCAAAAGACATAAATTTAATTCTTTTGTATCTTCAATTAAAGATGTACGGTATTTCACCAGTTCTAATCCTAAATGTTTTGGTCAATGAACCTTCAGTGAAATACAAGCTTTTGTTTGAGCTATTGATTACAAGCTTTTGTTTGAGCTATTGATTATTAAGTTCAGACATACATGAAGCACATTGCTGAATCACGAATCAACAATAATTATAATTATTTTAGAACTTATCTACAACTAATTATACGTAACTCCATTTTTATTTTTTAGTTATTTTATATGTCTTGGTCTTACAACATTTATACCTTTATGTTAGTAATCAAATGAATTTAGCATGGGATAGACACAATAGGTCAATAGAAAATATCGAACTAAAATTATTTACCTTAGTTTCCGAAAAGCTTCAAATCTACATAGAACATTTTCAGAACGCGGTTGTGATCCCTTGGTAGCGTTGTTCAGTGACAAACTGCATTCTCTGCACCTGCGTAGCTTTGGAGCAGCTTCAAAACATCTTGCGCGTTGAATGAAACCCTCATTTGGATTTTTTGGTTCCTTCTGTTTAAAATTTATGGACTGATCTAGAAAAGAAGAAACCACAGTTTTGCAGTCTAGCATATTTTAAAGTAACTCAATACCTAAAAATCAAAACTGTTTTAAAAAGCCTTATTTTTCCTAATATTTTAAATCTTATCACTCCACTGCGTGTCCGTCATCTCGTTGTTTGCCCAACCTGACTGCAATTGCAGTGACGCGATGTAGATGTGTGTACATATTTTTGAAAATATATAGACTAAAGCGTTAGTGATGAGAAGATAGTTGGTAGGTAGTTTAAGAGGACCCTCTGAAGATGCCACACAAGCTGGCGAAATACACAGGGCGACACATAAAGCATTTTATTCAAGAACACTGGAAGAAAGGTTTAATCTAATATACTGTATTTAAAAATGTTCAATTCTTGTTCATATACTTTGATTTTGTTGACAGTCTTTGTGTTATTCAACTAAGCAACTGAGACAAAACATATCCTTGTAAAAAAAAAACTCATAAACATGCCATTTCCATTTGGTGTAACAATCACCAATTTGAAATCAGGGAAACAGACTTACCAACACCAACCGTTTAGTTTTGCACCATTATTTTTTAATAGCCCTGATGTACCTAAATCTACTCTGGTTTGAACAAAGTAAAATTGTTTTGCATGAACCACATTTTTTATGTGGTGCTGATAATGGTTTTAACCTATTGCATTGGTAAGCAGGCGACCAAGAACATTACCATAGACGATAAACAAATATACACTGTAAAGGTCAGCTATTTACCTTGATCCAGACATTCTTCACTGAATGTGATAATTTCAATTTTGTCTTCATAACCTGTATTACTGTCAGGCCTACCGGTACTTTGTTGTTGGTTACGTACATCATCGCCAATCAAAATATTATAAACAGATTTTGAAGTATTATCTAATAAAATGTCACTGTTCAAGAAAAGTGGGCCATTTTCAGTTTGGGTTTCAGGAAAGCAAATAATTGATTTTTCTAAAGATTGGGTTCCTCTCTGAGTTTTTATTTCAGTCTCTCTCGATTGTAACACACTTGAGCCTTCAAATGTACTGAAGTCTTTGATATTAACAGAAACATCTTCATTGTTACTGCCATGAAATGTTGTTGTATTATGCACATCTGGAATGTTAAATTTGTGTGACAAATGTTTGCGTGTAACAATTTCATTTCGGGGAATTAGATCTTCTGAGGGGGTTTCTTCTAATAGGTGATCACAAGCCACTTCACAAAACGGTACAAACTGTCTACTCTGTATGTCTATTGCAGGGTCAGAATGTTCAGTTCCAGAACTCTTTGCTTGTAAGTGGACTTCATGTTTCTTGACTCTCAGATCCAGAGGTTCATGATGAAACCTACAACGAGGCTTGTTGTGAAAAAGAGGAGATGCAGTCAAGGTATTGCTCTTCTGCACTCTGAGGTCCAAAGGTTCTATTTGATCATCTTCTTGAGATTGGCAACTTGTTTGTAGCCGTGGGAGAGTCATTTTACCTAAAAAAAATGCATATTAATAATAGATGATAAAATATTTAAATTCACTTAACCAATAAACTAGTTAAGGCCTATTTATTTTTTTGGATTATTTACTGAAAGCCTAACATCAAAGACAGCTCAGGGTCCAGTTGGTAGACCATTAAAAAGACTTGGACTTTCTCAGGATCGAACCAGCAACCTTAGGGAAGCACTATAACCACTCAGTTTAAAGCAGCTTGGTAATTTACAAACATTTACCCTCTAACTTACAGGTAAGATGATACCAATAGTGATAGGTATTTTTAGTTTTGTTGGGAACGTGCCAAGGCCTTCGGACGACAAAATCCACCGAAATTTGACGTCACAGCCCCCACCTCCCACTCTTAGAGGAGTGGGGAGAGTCGTCCTGGCAACACCCCTAGTCCAGCCGACAGCTTGTCCTCCATACGACAAAACCTACCAAAATGTTTATTTAAAGGCTGACCACCGAGTCGCTTCAACTTCAGTAGCCTACTAGCTAAAAGGTCTCAGCCTTTTCACCTGCAAGTCTTATGTTGTAGGCTACTTAGTTAATTCCCACTAAATTAGCAATAGGCTAGCCTATATTTTATATAATTTCTAATTTACCATACAAGTTAGTTTATACGTGATTTCATACTTACTACAGTAGACTCCCTCTTATCCGGACACCTTTTAACCAGACATCTGTTTAACCGGACTACACTCGGCGGAAATTACATTTCTTTAACCGGACAATTTTTATAAGCACATCGGTTTAACCGGACTAGATCGGTAGAAAGTGGGTGGTACTGAAACAACTTTTCTCGTGGGAAAGATTTGAGACCAGTGATCACGTGACTAAATACAATGCCCTCCTAAATTTAATTTGAATATCACAGTAAACGGTCCGTTTTAAGGCTTCACTTTACTTGACGTCCTACACTCATTCGATTGGTTTTTTCGATTCGATATTTTCATTTGATTCTTTCATTCGATATATCGTTTGGTTAGTTAGGTTAGGTTAACCTTTTCATTCGATATATCGTTTGGTTAGTTAGGTTAGGTTAACCTTACCTAACTAACCAAACGATATATCGAATGAAGCAATCGATTAATCGATATATCGATCGATATTTTCATTCGAATGAGTGTAGGACGTCAAGTAAAGTGCAGCCCGTTTTAACAAGCTTTTGGGGATGTCTGTTTAACTGGAAAACCCGTTATCCGGACTGGCCTCGGTCCCGAGGAGTCCGGATAAGAGGGAGTCTACTGTAACTCACAAACTTTCACAATAATATATTTTTAATTAAGAATAACTTAGTTAGAGGCAGCTTGAATTGAAATTAGTTTAAGCCCTTTAACACATTGTGTACTGGTACAACACTAGGTTTTAATAATTTAATAAGTTATTTTAATCGGAATCAATATAAGTTATTTCAAATCGGAAATGTAGGCCTAAGTTTACGTCTATGACATACCTTTTGTACAAATCTGATTAAAAATATATTGCTAATTTAGTGGGAGGGAACAGGGAAGTAAACAAATGATTTGATTTGAAAAATGGCAGTCGACAAGGCTAGGCTAATAACTTTAAGTTACGGTACATAAGTTTAACAAGGTTTTCCAATTTTTCAAATTCAAAAGTTCTGATGTCTGGTAAGGAAGCAAACCATTGGATCACTCAGAGAGAGGGGTGGCGACTGTGATGTCAATATTTTGTTAGGTTTTGTCGTCCGGGAGGTCTTGCCATCACATTGCTTTGTTTACCCTAGGCTTACCCTTCTTTGCTGTTTTAATTCAGGGACAAGTTTTAGTACAGAAAGTGCACAACAAAACTACCGGTAGGCCTAACTTATGCCAAAACTTTAATATCCAACTTCATTGTACTATAAGACTTAAAATTAAGTTAAACACTTGTATACGGTACGGTATTACTTATTTGTATAAATGAATATCCATTACTGTGTTACAATCAAAAGGCTTCAGACCTAGCTTAAGTAGAAAGTTTGGATTTTGGTTCTCGGCCAAGAGTTTGGTTATCAGTCAAATTGATTGTTCAGTTGTTTATTGTTCAGAATGAAGTCTGATATCAAAGTTTTGCCCAAAAACTAAGTATTGGCCAACATCACATTGCTTTTATGGTGAATGGAATTAACTTATTTGATAAAAATATATGGCTTTAAAGTTAGTAGAGTATAGAGATTTCCCCCTAAGATTTTACAGCACCAGCCACTCTGTTCTGCTTGATATTTCACTTAGCCATCAATCAGACCTTACTGCTAGGCTAAGTTAACTCAAACACTTCCAGTAAAAAAATTATGACAAACTAAGCCATCATTATAAGTGACAATAAATAGTGTAGCTAGCACTAAAAGAAAATGATCCTATATTAGTTAACTTACACATTTTAACCCACTAATAACCTAAAGCTAACTTATCTCAGGTGATATCATGTTTACTGAAGGAAGAATATAAATACTTATCCTAGTACAACTATTGAATACACCTACTTATGTTTATCTTTGTAATAGCCTCTTTAGCAGCTTACATTATCAGCATGATAAAAAAATGGATCACGCACGGTAAATAGGAGTTGTTAAATTTCTTCTATAACCTTTCAACAAGAAATGATTAGACAACTTGAAAATGAAAATGTAAATTGAATCAGACGACAACAATAACCAAAATTTAATAATCAGCCGATAAAAACACTAAACACACTATTGCGGCAGGTAAAATCTTGGACTATGTAGCTTCCTATGAATCTTCGTATATATATATATATATACCTACTAGCTGTACCCGCGGGCTTTGCCCCGTTTAACTTCATATGTGAGCTCGTTCGCATGGCTCAATCACGTCCTGGTTGAAGTTCGTTCGCTACGCTCACTCACCTTTAGGTTGGAGCTCGTTCGCTGCGCTCACTTGCCTTCAGGTTAGCTCGTTCGCTACGCTACCTCGCCTCCGGGTTGAAGTTCGTTCGCTACGCTCACTCACCTTTTGGTTTCAAATTAGCTGTTGTCAAATATAAAAAAAATAATAGTGCTGCACTCTGTTGGTAATCCTTGTAACTTAAATGCTATTGAACATCATAGAACAGAACCAACTTGTTTAATTGAAACAGCTGTTATGATTCATATCAAACAAATATTCATATCCATATTCATCATGAATATTAATTATTATATTAATTCTCATATTCATTAATTCCATTTAAATATGAGTACTCATTAGGTTAACATGGGAAACTCCAGAGCCACTGGGGTGGAGCCCGAGAGTCCGATCAGAATAAAAACTACTTAGTTTTCCTATTTAATGCCTAAAGAATCAGTGTACCAAATTTCAGCCTCCTAGGTAAGTGGGAAGTGGGAGAATTAGTGATGAGTGAGCGAGTCAGTCAGTCAGTGAGGGCTTTGCCTTTTATATATATATAGATACCTATACCTAGAAGATGGTATTCTTTTTTTTATTATAAATGATTTAATCAAGAAACAGTTAATTATTGTAAAATCTTATATCTAGCTTATTAAATCTTATAATTTAGTTAAATTATTAGGCCTATAATAAAAGTAAGTAACGTGAAATCATTGTTAAAGCTAAAGAAGATATAAACATGACATGATCATACAAATATAATTTAATAGGCCATGTGGCTTTATCTTTTGGTATTCATAAGTAGGAGTGTTATAATCTAAAATCGTCCAAAGCATCTTCTAAACTCTAATACCACTACTTTTCTATGAAATGGCGACCATACACAAAGTAGGTATTTTGCCAAGTATGAATGGAGATGATTGTAGGATGAGTGGCGCGATCTTGTAGTCTTGTTAGTGACTTAAGGCCGAAATATTCCTTAGACACAGCTGTTAATTAATAGCCCATGCAGCTACTGGCAACTAAGTGACCTACAGTTCATAGTGCATATCGGGTTTAAGAATAATTGAGCCATGCACATCCTCTTACTCATAGGCAATCATATTCATTTGAGATGGGCGCCATCTAGATTTATATTTTAACCTAAATATGAATGAAGGGTAGTGAAGGTGGGCTTTGTTACAGTATCCTGGAATTTTGTTCTAAAATTTATTACAAACTGAGAGGCTTAAAGTCCTCTCAGTAGTGCCAGACTCGGGCTGTAGTAAATGTAGTCAGTTCCTCTAACTTTTTACACTTACTTTTAAAGTTTACTCTCACTGTACAGTATAAGGTTAGAGGTACTGACTACATTGAATAAACAATAACATCTTCAGACAAAATAAAATCAGCTGATTAGTTTGTAAACAAGTACGTTGAATTTCACCATAGCTGATTTAAAAAGTTTGGGTGTTTAGTGTGAATTTTAAGCCATCCCAATGATTGATAATTAATAAAAAAGACACATTTTGGGGTTATATAGTATTTTATTGTTGTTTAAAATAATCTAAAATCGTTTAAAAATAACTTTCAAAGCGGACAGAGACTGTTGCATTGTTATGGCAGACTTAGGCCGCATGCCTCGGCATGCAATACATCTAACCTCCAACGGTCACATATTACTAAAGCTGCTATAACCCAGTTAATATTCATCCAATCTTAAAGATTAAGGTGTCAATCGATTTGTAATTAAATTATCTTAAAAATGTTAGCCTTGTAAACTTTGTGTAAACTCAGCGGTTTTTGAGTAATTTAAGAAACAAAATTTTAATGGCCGCCATTTTTTCATGAATTTAAAACATGTTCATAATTTTTTTTAGCTTTGTCTAGTCATCATAAGTGTTTTTGCAAAGTTTCAATTTCGCATCTCTTACCATTTTTTAGAAAACAACTAATAAAAAAAACAAAATGGCGGCTGTGTGAGTAACTAAGGACTTCGGTCAATTTAAATATGATATTTAGATTTGTTTCTTACCCAGGAACACTACCACAAAATATCCGACACGGATTCTGAAACACCCTGTATATAACATGTCCCTCATTTAGAATAGAACAAAACAATGAAAAATACTTTGACTTCTTTGGACTAAAAGTCAAACATTTAGGATTCATGACTACTCTACTTCTAGAAGTTACATAACCGTCAAAGTTTTTTTACAACTTCTCCCTCATCACAAACATCTGTTAATCCTACACAATTCTCCTTAGAACTAGCAGTTGGATTTCTTACATTTACAAAAGCTTCTATGTACAGGACTTGCATTTTGTTCATCATTACTATCAGCCTTCGAAGTATATACTTCGTTGCAGCACACGCGAGAATTAAGGGGGAGGGAGGGGCAAACACACTGCTCAAGCACTACACTACAACGCAAAGTTTTGCTCGATGTACGCAAGGTTTTGCCACTTTCCTTCATCCACTGGTGGCCGCAGTTTGAAAGACGCCACAATTTGGTGTTTGCGAGTATTCGGCAGAGACCCGTGTATGTGTGTGTCTGTGAACGCGATAACTGAGTTTGTGAACCAGCATGATCTGACGTTGGGAACAGGTTGGGAACCCTGAAAACTTACAATTTTCAAATTATCCCCCTCAACTATTTTGAAGAGGTTAAAAACTAAATAATTTAGCAAATTGAAGTGTTTTGTACAGTATTTGGAGAAAAAAAATTAATTTATAATTCTCATCTTATTCTTATAGAGAAAAAGTATACTGTGGTAGTTTGCTTGTTTATTAATACATTTTGATCAAACTTGGCAAGTTTATTAATTGTATAATAGGCTATTAATATTTTACACAAAAAACACACTTTGTTACCTCCCTGTAGTATAAACCTATAGATTTTCATAAACCTATGTTATTTAAATAGATTTAAGTGAAAATCCAATTAGGCAAATAAATAGAAATTCGCTTTTGTCTGCACTTTTGCTGCGGCAGGGGAATTTTTCTTTTCATACTATTCTTTTGACATTTTAATAAAAACGCACTTTTTTACCATCCCTGTAGCGGCAAACCTAATTATTCCATTTAACCTAATTTATTAATTTTTTAAATTTTATATGAGGCTTACATTTTAAGGAAATATTTGAGTGAAAATCAAATGAGGCAAATGGAAATTCGCCTAGTCTAGAGGTTTGCTGCGGTGGAAAAAAATTAAATTTTGGTTATTGATGAAAATGCAGGAGAGTTACTGCAACAAGAAGACTCGGGAAACTCATTCAAACCTTTCCTTTGCGTTGGAAAATTAAATGCATCAAAAAGTAATTCCAAGAACAGTTCAATTTTACTGGTCTATTATAGAGAGCTAAAACTGGAACTCCTATAAAACAGTGTCGAGCAGCTGCGTTGTCGTTGCTTGCAAGTTGCTCGATTGGTCTCGGTGTTATTGGAACTGTGTCTGTAAAATAAGGAACTTTAAGTCCTGTTTGGAAGGTTTTTTATCATAATTTTCAATTAAGAGTGAAGGATGAGTGTAGAATGGTGTGAGATGATCTGTGTAACATTGTTACTGGCTAAGATCAGCTGTTTCATCAGTTAATAGTTATTTGTGCAACTAGTGAGAAAAGTGAGCAATTGACTCACTCGAGAGAAATCCTTACTCACGAGCCGTAGGCGAGTGAGGAATGGTTTCTCGAGTGAGGCAATTGTACTTTGAACTCGAGTTGCACATTATACTTTTCCTACAGTTACCATAAAACAAATAAATTTGTGAAGAAACATAACCTATTTTTACACAGAAGTGAACTTTTAATATAACATTTAATGTGAAGTGACAAATACAACAGTACAACAGCTGACCAGCTGATTTACAGCCAGTGCTGCCAACGTATTTCGCGCGCATACGACGTTGCCTGCATGTTACGCGCTCACTATTTCGTGCCTTCACGTTGCAAATCTGGAGTGAGACAAAGTAATTCGAGTGAGACAATGTTAACATTGTCTCACTGATGAGCGAATTGGCCACTTTGCTTTCTCAAATCAGTGAGAGAACATGTACATTGTTAGGTAACTGTAGGAAAAGTAATTTATTTAAAGCCATGATGATCAGGGACAGCTGAATCCCGTGTTACACCTCGATAAAACGTGTTTAATTAATTAAGTTACCTTGTTACATTTGATATTTGCATTATTGTTCTTGTTGTTGTTGTTCAGTAGAAACTGTTGGCCGTTTCGCATTTTACCTAACTGATGTTCATCTTTCGATTATCTACGACGAAGATGACTCAAATAGGCGATAGTGCATTAGTGATTACTGGACAAAAACATCAAGAAAAAAAAATCAATTTGCAGCAACCAACAATAACAAGCTGTAAATTGATTTAATAAATTCTTCAAACTGGGTATAACTATAAAATCTTAAACCTGTTTTATAATAAAGCAGAGATTTGTGAACGAATTAGTCAACTCAACTATCGGCGTTCCAAAAGTCCCGAAACGGCATAATATTTTTGTAACCAACATAGATACGGTGGTACAACTGTTTTGTATCTAGATATTTATCATAAAAAATATCTTTTTGACTCCGTAGTCCGTTTGAGTTCAAATTTGCGGCCTTCTTGTGTTTTACTAGTAAAGACCTTTAATTGCTTCTTTTTTTATGTGCATGCAACCTATGCTTAGATACTTTTTCCTACAGTCACCCGACAAAGTTGGCTTCCTTGTACTGTTTATAGTACATAAAGCTGCTAATTGCTGCATATTTATACTTTGC